GTTGAAATAAAGTCAGTCGAATCACCTTGAATAAAGTTTGTCGTTACATGGCGACCCTGACAATCTGAACCTTGCACTCCGGAATAAACAATATATAGTAGAGAATAGAGAAAGATAAATAAAATGGAAATAACAAGCGGAAGTAATCATACATGTAAAAGTCGAAGAGTTTAGTTTATTAGACCCTTACCGTCTGGTATTGGGTGAAGATCAAGAGTACAAAAAAAAGAGAAAATAAAGAAAACCCAGGCAGACAAAATCTTTAAAAATACGGTGAAATACGCGTTTAAATTTTAACGAAAATAAAATCAAGAGAAGCGCACATTTTCAGGTTTTTAATCTCCGTTAACCTTTTCTTGACGGTTAACGGGTTTAGAAATAACATGTTCTCACCAGTTATAAAACTACGTGTTTCTACTCATTCATAGTCAATCTATATTTACTTTTACCGAATCTACGGGTTTGTAACTCCCGAAAATGTGCGCTTTTCTTGATTTTTATCTTCGTGAAGTTTTTTACGCAGACAAATAGCATAAAATCTCAGCCGGTTCTACTCACTCGAAAACTCCGGACAATTACCAGCTTAAAACATACGCGTTCGTAACTCCCGAAAATGTGCGCTTTTCTTGATTTTATCTTCGTTAACTTCTCGACTCATATCAGCGTTGTAAAAACTGATTTGTTTTTGTCCGTTCGGAAACTATACAGTATCACCAGTTCAAAACGAATGCGCTCTTAGGTCATAAGAATCAGGAATTTCGTCGATTCGATATCCGTTGTACCTATATATCGATAGATAACGTAGAATCACACACCCAAACGGGTAACTCACTCATGAACACATACCTGAATAGGTACTGTTGAAACACATACCCAAACGGATATGGCACAAACATGTACCGATAGATGGCGTACATGTATGAGTACTGTCAGAAGATACCAGTTGTTAAAAAAGCATTTGAAAAAAACCTTCTGCGATCTCTGGCTTTACTAGAAATTTTATTTCTGGTGAAAGCATTGTAAAAGTAACGATTTAAGATTGTGATGTATGTTGTGATTTAATTGGCTAGACGGAGAAATGCGCTTGATATGATATGAAATGTATATGCATGTATAGAGGAAGACAGAAGATAAAGTATAGGATGAAGAGCGATTACCGGGATAAAAGACATTAAAAATCAGTCGACAATGGAGGAAATGATTTCATTGCATGGGTATAATCTGCTGGTTGGGACCAGTAGAGTGGTTTTGTTTCAGCACGGACAACTGCTTGTAACATCGCAGGAAAATAAATTTGTTTCGCAGGTATCAGAATTGGTTTTGCTTTCAGTTATTATATTCTGTCTTCATTAAGACGATGAAACTCGATTATATTCCGTTGTAGATATTGTGACTCTCGAACTTTCTCCTCTGATCTTCGAACATTAAAGAATGACGAAAAAAAAGTCGAAGAAAAACAATGTTTCATCGAAAAACGAGTCGGCTGCAGCGATTATCGATGATAGCGAGAATGCGGTACCGAATGTAACTACGAATATTGCTGATACAAATGAAAGGGACTTGTTTGACACAACGGATAAAACCATGAGGAAACGAAAGGAACNATGATAATTTTCAAAAGCAATGAAAAATCTTATTTTGTTGTTTTTATTTCAGCATTCTCTCGACTATCACATCCCAAAAACAGTTTTAGTTTTAAGAAGATGCGAAATGACATTGCAGCAAACATTAGACAGGGCACCCTTACCTATCGATCTCGGGAAACTTTGCTGGTGAATCAAATCGATGGTGAAGAAAACGCTAGTGATGATGATGCTGATGAAGTAAACGAGTCGGATGATGACATGAATCATACATTATCTCGTGTACGAACAAACGAGCTGATTGATGACTCCAGTGAAGAAGAAGAAGAATAACTCTTACGTCTTTGGTATTGACATTTACACAACTTCTTTATCCGTGGACATTCTCAGATGACATTTTTTTAATAATGTACTTGTATTTTAGTCGTACTCAGTTTTACTTTTATTTACTTAATTGGTTCTCAGCGATGTATTTTATGAAAAAGTCAAAGACACATTTCATGTTATTCTTCCTTCGCTTTTTATTAATAATAAAGTTCTTTTTTCGATTAACTACGACTACAAGCATGAACTTCATGCAATAATTAATATTTAATTACAAAACATCTAGACATCGGAGATGGGTAAAATAAGCCACTATCTGATTTATGAAGTTGATGTTTGAAAATGGGACAATATCAAGAAAGATCTTTAAACAATGAATGTTTCTAGATGAATGACGAAGAGGATAATGAGATACATAGGATAGCAGATAAAAAGTCTCGTTTTAGTCGTTATCGTGATCGAATTCGACAAAGAAAACAGCTAGATTTAATGGAAATGATGGCAACTGATGACCTGAACGAAGCATCGTACGTTGCTCATATTTTTTTCTCATGTTTTCGTGATGACATCTAATCCTACTAGAAAAGACGAAGTGTATACCGTTGATCCACAGACAGTTCATGATAATGACGCAACATCAATGTTGACGTGTGATGAGCACAATGCAGCATCAAGTTCAGTGTCAAAGGAAGTAACCGAACAATGTTCGTTGGAAGAACATAATGATGAAGATGATGTTCACGATTCGTTTCAATTAAACGATGTCGGTAGTAGCGACGGAAGTGATAATAACGATGATGAAAGTGAAGATGATGACGTGGAAGAAATTTCAAACGCTCAAAGTGACTTCTATGATGATTATTGCGAAAAGCAAAGATTGCCTGATGCTACTGAGCTATCTGTAATGTTATTTCTTTTTTGGAAAAGACACAACATAAGCAAAGCTGCTGCGAACGACATTTGCCGTATCATCAATATGTTCAATGTTCCGAANTAGGATAGCAGATAAAAAGTCTCGTTTTAGTCGTTATCGTGATCGAATTCGACAAAGAAAACAGCTAGATTTAATGGAAATGATGGTAACTGATGGCCTGAACGAAGCATCGTACGTTGCTCATATTTTTTTCTCATGTTTTCGTGATGACATCTAATCCTACTAGAAAAGACGAAGTGTATACCGTTGATCAACAGACGCTTCATGATAATGATGCAACATCAATGTTGATGTGTGATGAACACAATGCAGCATCAAGTTCAGTGTCAAAGGAAGTAACTGAACAATGTTCGTTGGAAGAACATAATGATGAAGATGATGTTCACGATTCGTTTCAATTATATGATGTCGGTAGTAGCGACGGAAGTGATAATAACGATGATGAAAGTGAATATGCTGACGTGGAAGAAATTTCAAACGCTCAAAGTGACTTCTATGATGATTATTGCGAAAAGCAAAGATTGCCTGATGCTACTGAGCTATCTGTAATGTTATTTCTTTTTTTTGGAAAAGATACAACATAAGCAAAGCTGCTGCGAACGACATTTGCCGTATCATCAATATGTTCAATGTTCCGAATATGCCCAAAGATTTTCGTTCAGTGACGAATTATTTAAAAAGAAATAATCCAATATTACTTGAAGGGAATCATTCTTTTATTTGTTCTTCGTGTGGCAATAGATGTGCAAATGCTTCAAAATGTGATTCAACTAGATGTCAATCATCGAATTTGTCTGTACGACGTTCAACGGCAGTCATCGTTTTTCCTCTAGCATCGCAAATTTGTTCAATTCTTGAACGAGAAACCCTTATCATGCCAACTTATGAATCAAATTTCTGTAACGACATATTAAACTCTCAACGTTCTCAGGAAATAGCATCGAAAGAAGGACAAACTACTCCTACACGAAATTATGCTACTCTCACTCTGAATACTGATGGAGTACTTCTTAAACGAATATCTCAATCGTTGTAGATTACATGTGCTTGTATAAACGAGTTGCCTCGAAACAAACGTTACGACATAAACAACATGCTTATATGTTCTCTCTCAACTGGGGAGGAAAAGCCTAAAAAAGATGAGTATTCAGCGATACTACAAGATATTGTGAATGAGTTAAAATTTGTCGAACAAATTGGTGTTGATATTGTGCTTCCATCAAATGCCAAAAACCCTCACAGAACACATACACATTTCTATGCTTTTGCAATCGCAGCTGTGTGTGTGACAAACCAGCGCAGGCGCTTATGATGAATATTAAAGATCCTACGGGCTTATTCAGCTGTGGTTGGTGTTGTATCCCAGGTTAGAAATTTGATTATTTTATTAAGTTTAGATTTTAGCCGCCGATATTTTTTGATTGAGCTTCTACTTCCTTAATTATTCGAACTTGTATATATATATAGGTGAAACTCATTTGTCTAATTATCGATGCTTTATTAACAACAGTACAACTCCTGCAATGCTTCGAACTAACAAGACATATGATCATTTTATGCAGATTTTAGATGCGGTAAAAAGCCTCATTGAATTAATTTCTTAGCTTTTTTGTTGATGTTTTGCTTACAGAATTATGTAATAAAGGATCCATCAAAAGATAGAATATGTGGACACGCAGGTCCTTGCGCTTTACGTCGATTAACTTATTTTGAAATTGGGAACTGTTTTTGCTATGATTCTCTACGTGGTTTATACGCAGGAGTATTCGTAAGTAGTGTATGTTACTTTGATTGATGGAAATAGGCAATCTCGCTGAAAAGAAGACTTTTTTTTATCATTCAAAGAAAAAGCTAATGCATTTATGGCTGGATACGGTTAGNTTGTTCAATTCTTGAACGAGAAACCCTTATCATGCCAACTTTTGAATCAAATTTCTGTGACGACATATCAAACTCTCAACGTTCTCAGGAAATAGCATCGAAAGAAAGACAAACTACTCCTACACGAAATTATGTTACTCTCACTTTGAATACTGATGGAGTACTTCTTAAACGAATATCTCGATCGTTATGGATTACATGTGCTTGTATAAACGAGTTGCCTCGAAACAAACGCTACGACATAAACAACATGCTTATATGTTCTCTTTCTACTGGAGAGGAAAAGCCTAAAAAAGATGAGTATTCAGCGATACTACAAGATATTGTGAATGAGTTAAAATTTCTCGAACAAATTGGTGTTGATATTATGCTTCCATCAAATGCCAAAAACCCTCACAGAACATATACACATTTCTATGCTTTTGCAATCGCAGCTGTGTGTGACAAACCGGCGCAGGCGCTTATGATGAATATTAAAGATCCTACGGGCTTTTTCAGCTGTGATTGGTGTTGTATCCCAGGTTAGAAGTTTAATTATTTTATTAAGTGTAGATTTTAGCCACCGATATTTTTTGATTGAGCTTCTACTTCCTTAATTATTCGAATTTGTATATATATAGGTGAAACTCATTTGTCTAATTCTCGATGCTTTATTAACAACAGTGCAACTCCTGCAATGCTTCGAACTAACAAGACATATGATCATTTTATGCAGATTTTAGATGCGGTAAAAAGTCTCATTGAATTAATTTCTTAACATTTTTGTTGATGTTTTGCTTACAGAATTATGTAACAAAGGATCCATCAAAAGATAGAGTATGCGGACATGCAGGTCCTTGCGCTTTACGCCAATTAACTTATTTTGAAATTGGAAACAGTTTTTGCTATGATTCTCTACATGGTTTATACGCAGGAGTATTCGTAAGTAGTTTATGTTACTTTGATTGGTGGAAATAGGGAATCTCGCTGAAAAGAAGACTTTCTTTTTATCATTCAAAGAAAAAGCTAATGCATTTATGGCTGGATACGGTTAGGGTAGATTATTCGATTAAAAAGCAATTTTCTTGTTTGAAGAAACTACTACAATCCATTCATTACCCTTTAACTAACAGATTACCACGTGCGTTGAAGCACTACACAACATGGAAAGCTAATGAATTTAGAATGACATTACTTTTTGGCTACAAGTGTGTATAATCAGCGTTCAAGAATACGTTGAAATCTAATTTTCTATTTGAAAGGGCGTTTGAACAAGTGATGAAAAAAAAATACTATGAACACCTTAGATTATTAGTCTATGCTGCTGTCTTTTCGGAGGCACGGGTATTAACTACCACTCGATTGAATCAAATCGAAAGTTTGTTAAATGCTTTTGTTGATGAATTTCCTGTGCTATACGGAGTTTGTACACTGATTATTCTTTTTCTACGATATTTGCCTATTTTCTCTTATATCATGTAGGCATCTAATTGTGTGTCGATTGTGCATTCACTCTCACATGTCCATCAGTCCTTGCTCAAATTTGGTCCTATTCATAATTACAGCACTTTTAACTTCGAAAGTACAGTTGGTATGTAGAAAGTTTCTGTTTTAGTTTATGTATCATTTAAAATTGACTTCCATTTTTTTCTTCAAAAAGCATCTTAAATCTGTCATAGTGGTTCTGACTAATGATGCTAACTATTCTTTCTCCTTGTTAGGATCATTTGTTAAATCTGTGCATGGTCCTACTCTCATTTTAAAGCAATTAATGAACAAGTTCGAGCTTCTCTCTTATGCAACAACACTTTTCACAAAGCCTGATTTCCATCCGAAAGTTGCATTGCTTATCAATCAAATATTCTCATCCAAAAGACGCGCTCTGCCAACGTGTTTAACGTTACACAACGTGACTTCTCTAACGCGCTCCACAGTCTCTCCATCTTCACATGTCACTGAGTATCTCGGAAAGCTATGCGCAAAAGATCACTACACTCATTATTCAACATGCTTCTATCGAAACGTGGCCTTTACAATTCATCGTTCAAATAATAAACAAGTCGATAACTCAGCTGTTATGTATTCCGATCATTCAAATAATCTTCAACTTGGCATAATTATCGCTATTATACAACTAACAAGCACCAAAGACATTGTAATCATTATCGATCAAGCGGATGTCGTAGGTTTCGATCGTTTTTCTCAGAATCAAACAGAATACATCAACGACTTCGTTGCCTATGCAAAACATTCGGATCCACCACATATTGTTTCCATCGATTGCAAATCTATCAGAGAAAAAGTTGCTTACCGCAAAGATCCAAATGTCCTCACATCTGTTGAATACTATATATTTCCGAATTTAGTAGAAGAAACTTGATCTTTTTATGTGCATTTTCTGCACTATTCATAACAATAAAACGTGCATTCTCTTCTTCACTTTATGTCACTCACGTACTACTCGATCTTATTCCTTCAACTGGGTCCACACCATAGATAATTATATTTTCTCTCTCACCATTCATAAGCACCAAAGGCCTCATCCTACACCGTTCAAACCTAAGCCTTCAAAAAATCGCAATCTTTCATGTACGTGATATAATAAAGGGTGACTGGACAATTCGTCGCAGACGATTCGTTGCAGACTATTCGTCGCACGGACAATTCGTCGCATAGACAATTCGTCGCAAGACAATTCGTCGCAAGACAATTCGTCGCAAGACAATTCGTCGCACATTTAATTAATTGTAACACGAAGAATATACACATAAGACTAATTTATAGAAATTGATAAATGATTGTTTATCGATGAGAGATAATTTTATTATTGAAAAGAGAAAATATGACAAAAAACAAAAAAAAGAATTCTATTTAAATTGACACATTGACTGCCAAGCTTTTCAAGTATTCACCAAGATCGACATTACCATAATCATCGACTAAACTTTTAATTCTATCTTCGATTTTTTGATAAGTTGTTTTTTTTTGCTTCTGGTTGTTGACCTAGACGAATTAACGCGATATCAAGTTCGAATTTAGATTGTTCCGTTCGAATCTTATCAGTTAACTTGTTAATCGTTGGATGAGCAATTGAAACGCGTTGAGCAAATGCATTGTGCCAACCTTCAATAGAATTGTTAGTACGAGGAAGATTTTCACTTACCCGATCATAGACATTCCACAGCTCAATTGGAAATTTTGGACTTTTGCGACCAGTGCCTAACAAGTAACGCTCATCCTTTGGATTCGCTGACCCTTTTCTGAAAGANACGTGTATATACGCGTTTTTTTCAAGCCCTGGTCTGCCTGGGAAGCAGTTGTTTGATCATTCATTTGGTGGTTTCTTGCTCGATCGTCGTAGCGCTTGATCACCATAGCTATTTGTCCGCGTCCTACCTCCAAACCATCTCGGATTGGTTTCAGTAGCACCCATCATCGTGCGCATGGTGAAGAAAACGCAGCTTTTTTGGCAGGCGAATGAATTAGCGTCCGATAATGTTATTCTTGTAAGTGACCGTGAGAGTTCCGTTTATTGGTGAAAACCAAGCAAGGAGAACACACGTACAATATGTGAGAAGAAACGGTAGAACAACAAGAAGAGGAGAAGAGATGAAGAAGAAGAGAACGAACGAACGATAGAAAATACTACTGTGTATATATATGTGTGTGATGGGGAATAATCCTTCACATATATATATATATCAGTAAGGAAAAGCCCGGAGAATATCCCATGATTCAAGATGGATATTTCCAGTTATCTTTTGGTATAATCCCTTATACCTACACCTCCCCCTTCAAATTTGCACTCAAGGTTGATAACGATCTGGGGGTCGACGATTACGTTGTGGGTATCGTGGTTGTTGTACTGGTGCAGGTATGGTTGGTTCAGCAGGTGAAGACGATGACTCAATTTCATCTGGCAAACTAAGATCGTCAATTGAGGAATTGTGTGACGAGAAACGATGATGTAATTGATTTTGATGACGTTTGTGTCGTTGACCATCTGTCGTTTGTACCATATACATCATACTACCAACATGGTCCGTCACAATAGCTGGAATCCATTGAGGACGTTTGTTCAGTTGATGTTTAGCCATCCAGACAAATTGACCAATCGAAAATTTCGATTTGTCTGTTGTATCCGATGTTACAACAGGTTTCATTAGATCAAGTTCGGTACGAATTGAATGTTTGAAGATCAACTCAACGGGACGTTTACCAGTAATTGTATGAGGTGTCCATCGATAATTACGGAGAATTCGTCGAACTGTTGTATTTTTGTCTGTTGCACCTGAATTTAACTCTTTTGTTAATGCTTCTTTAAAAGAACGTACAAAGCGCTCGGCAATACCATTACTGGCCGGATGGTACGGTGCAGTAGTAACATGAGTGATTCCCTATTTCTGGTAAAATTGCACCAGTTCATAGCTGTTGAATGGCGGCCCATTATCTGAAACTAATGTTTCGGCTGGACCCAACCAATCAAAAACTTTTTCGAGACCATCAATAAGATTCGTTCCCGTTGTATCGTTACCCATATCAATTACAACTGGGAATTTGGATTTTGCATCGATTAACACGAGCCATTTTGAATTCCATATAGGCCCGAGAAAATCCATATGTACACGAGACCAGCTATCCATTGGTTCGTCCCAAGATTTGAATTCTTGTTTTGGGATTGGTTGTATCTGTGAACAAGGTGTACACGTACGTACAAGTCGTTCGATATCGGTGTTTATACCCGGCCACCAACAATATGAACGAGCTAGTTGTTTCATTTTAACAACGCCAATGTGTGTATCGTGTAGTTTCCGAAGTACTTTAGGACGTAGTGATGTCGGTATCACTACCTGCATGTCTCGCAAGAGACAGCCATTCACCACCGAAAGAGAAATTCGAGAATTGAAATACGAACGTATTCCTGGTTGTTTTAGGTCCACCTTCTGAGGCCACTCAGAAATAGTGAATTTTCGTACAGTGTCTAGTAACTGATCTTTGTCAGTCGCTGTTGCAATTTCAGCAGCAGTCACGGGCCAATTTGCTGCTAATTCATTTTGAATAAAATTAACAGTGAGTGTATCATCATCGACAACTGAATGATCATCTGGAGCGGGTAACCGTGATAGTGCATCAGCGTTACTATGACGAGTAGTTGATTTATATTGAATAGTATAACTGTACCCCATGAGGAATATCGCCCAGCGTTGAAGACGATTCAACGCTGTTACTGGTAGCGGTTTAACTGGATTGAAAATTGAAAGTAGAGGTTTATGATCCGTTACTAATTCAAAATATCGTCCAGCTAAATATTGATGAAATTTTTTGATTCCATAGACAATTGATAAAGCTTCTTTCTCTGTCTGACTATAATTTTGTTCAGCTTTTGTAAGTGTTCGAGAGGCATGCGCTATTGGTCGTTCCGAATTGTCAGAATATCGATGAGCGAGAACAGCACCGATGCCATATTGAGAAGCATCTGTCGAGAGAATGAGAGGCAGTTTTTTATCAAAGTGTACTAAGAGAGTAGCAGATGATATTTCATTCAACAAGGACTCGAATGCTTGTTGACATTGTGTACTCCAATGCCAAGTCACGTCCGATTGTCGTAAAGTGTTCAATACTTTACATTTTGCTGAGAAATTTTCGATAAAATTTCCATAATAGTTGACCTTCCCGATGAAAGCTTCCAGCTGTTTGATATTTTGTGGAACAGGCATTCGAACAATAGCATCGACTCGCGTCGGGTCCGGACGCCGGCCATGTTGATCAATAATAAACCCCAAATAATTGACCTCGTCTTTGAAGAATGAACACTTCGATGGGTTACAAGTAAGTCCAAAATCTGCAAGGCGAGCAAGCACTGTGTCCAATGTCTGTAGATGATCGGCGGTGGTTTTCCATGTAATCAGGATATCATCCAAATACGCGACCGTATTTGGAATACCCGTAATTATTTGATCAATTAATTTCTGAAATATCGCCGGTGCATTTGCAATTCCAAATGGCATTCGATTGTAACGAAATAGTCCTATTGGTGTGTTAATTACGACCAATTTTTTACTATCTTCGTCTAATTCGATCTGAAGATAAGCATCAGATAGATCGAGTTTTGTGAATTTGACACCGTTATCTAATCGAGCAAGTAATTCATCAATTGTCGGAATTGGATATTGGTCAATCATCATTTGCGGATTTAGCGTTACTTTGTAATCTCCACAAATACGTATTTTTCCGTTTGGTTTTTTTACAGGTACAATGGGCGCTGCCCAATCGGATATATCAATTGGTTCAATGATGCCAGCTGACAAGTTACGTTGAATTTCATCTCGAATGGCATCCATATATGCGAAAGGTATCGTTCGAGATTTGAAAAACTTCGGATGAGCGTCAGGTTTTAACTGAATATGTGCCTTGATTTTGGAACAATGCCCTAATTCAGTATTGAGAACGTTTTGGTGTTTGTGAATGATTTGTTGAAGATCCGAATCATCCAAAATTCGGTGTAATCCAGTGACAGACATGTCTGTGTCAAAAATAATGCGATTCAAATCTACCTTCAATCGATGAATCCAATTAAGACCAAGCAATGAGGGTCGTGGATCCTGCACTACGACTACTGGTAATTGCATTGACCGATTATCGTATTTGACGTTAACTAAACATTCTCCCATAATGTTCAGGATTGTACCACCATAGCATCTGAGCTGTAGTTTAGATGGCTGGATTCGAGGACAGCCAATCTTCTGCCAGGTTGACTTGTCGATAATCGTATGTAACGCTCCAGTATCCAGCTCCATTTCCGTTGAACAATCATTCACTTGTAAATTCATAGTCACTGCATGAGGCATTGTATTTTTAGAGTCTACTCGGTAGACTGTCGAAATGTGTTTTACTTGAACTGAATCTTTCTTCTGCCTACAAACACGTGACAAATGTCCTTTACGCTTACAATTGTTACAAACGATATCCTTGTAAGTGCAATTGACTCGAGTGTGACTCGTCGAGCCACAACCGTCGCATGCTTTTGATGGCGAACTCGGTTTGTTATTGGTGTTGTTGTTTCGTTGGTTTTGTTGTTGTTTATTCTGTCGATTCCATTTGCCATTGTGAAGTTTTGCTACTTGGAACTCGTTGCGTTTATGAGCATTGTCGAATTGTTTGAGATCAGCTTGAAGACGTTCAGCTGTCTGAATAATACGTTCAGCTTTGTCAAGATCCGGATCTGTTTCTTTGAGAAGAGCTTGGCGGATTTTGACGTCATGTAACCCGATGACGTACATATCGCGAAGTGCTCGGTCCTGAGGTTTCTTCGCCAAACAGGACGATGTGAAACCGCAGTGTTTCAACTTACTACAGAGTTCGCCTTTCCACTCTTGGAAACTTTGCCCCGGTTTCTGATAACAAGAGTAAAAGTCGAAGCTTGCAGTCATTATGTTTTTTGTTGAATCGTAATGTTGATCCAATTTAGCCACAATGTCGTCATAAGAAACTTCTTCATCGGTTAGTCGCGCAGGAGCAACTAACGATTCTAACAACGAGTAAACGGTGTCACCTATTGCCCATAACAATAAGGCTTTTTTGTCATCGTTTACGTTGATTCGGTTCGCCTTGAAGTAAAACAATAACCTATCGCGATAAGATTCCCAACTTGTTGTTCGTGGATCGAATCCATGAAGTGTTAACGTAGAAGAGACGGTTGCCGACGTGTTGGCCATAATCGATTCAGTGGTTGACATTGATAACACGACAAATTCCAATTGAGTCTCTTCCGAATTTGTAATAATTCACTTGTTGAATTGCTGTAGACGTTTGCCTTATGTTGTGGTTATTTTTTTTTTGTTACGACAAAGAAAAATCTACCTCGTCGCCAATGTAAGTGACCGTGAGAGTTCCGTTTATTGGTGAAAACCAAGCAAGGAGAACACACGTACAATATGTGAGAAGAAACGGTAGAACAACAAGAAGAGGAGAAGAGATGAAGAAGAAGAGAACGAACGAACGATAGAAAATACTACTGTATATATATATGTGTGTGATGGGGAATAATCCTTCACATATATATATATATCAGTAAGGAAAAGCCCGGAGAATATCCCATGATTCAAGATGGATATTTCCAGTTATCTTTTGGTATAATCCCTTATACCTACAATTCTTCCTGCACCACATCACGGCGCAGCGCCTCACGTGGTTGGTTATTCCTTGTGGCTTGAACAGCTTCTTGCATTCTGGACACTTGTAGCTGTTGTTTGCGGTTCGTGTCAGCACTTCTGCCACCTTGCGCGCCGGTTCATCTCGGATGATCATTCTGCGTTGTTCTGCTCTCTCTTTATATTGCCGCACGATTTCTTTGATGTCCGATCTTGGCGCCATCGATTGCGCCTTCTTGTTGATGATTTCTCGCCATTTGTTACGGTCGAGAGTCCGTCGTCGCCAGTTACGAACTTCACAACAGTTAAGATCATCGCGTATCTTGTCTTCCCATCGTTTCCGTACAAAAAAAAGTCGAAGAGACTATTCGAGTATTAAACTTTCAGTTCGAATTTTCAACTATTCAACTTATAAAATTTAGAGCTTGAAGCTTCGAGTTTTCGAGTTTTAAACTTTCAACTAATTGGCTATTAAATATCCACTAATTAAACGATAATTATTAAATGACTAACTGATTATCAATTATTAACTAACTGTTTACGACGGTGGCTGTGGGTGAGGGTGTGGGTGGGGGTGTTCGGTAGCAGTGTAAAACTCGAATACTCGAAAACTCGAAGCTTCGAGTTTTTGATTTATATGTTTTAGAATTCGAAGGAAGTTTTAATACTCGAATCGAGTTAACGATTTCTACACTACTCCGGGATATAAAATCAGGACTACAAAAAATGTCGCAGTTCATAACAAATTTCAAGATAGAGAAGAAGAAGAAGAACAAGCGAGGGAGAGCAGAGCAACCACACCACGGGACGAGAGTAACCCATCAACTAACAACAACCAAAACAAACAACAACCCATCACAAACCCAACAAATTTAAATGATATAAATATGTACAATACAGCATCATCAATCACACGGATCCCACCCACAACACACACAATCGTCATCCCACCAAGATCAGCTATACCAACAGTTAGTGGAAACTCTACAGAAAATCCACGTCAATTTCTCATTAGAGTTCAAGAATATACAGAAACAATCAATCATTGGGATAATCAATCCTTACTTAATGGTATTTCACAGTTTCTCCGACGCGCTGCTCTCGAATGGTATTGTCAATTACGAATATCTCACCGTCGACCACAAACATGGATAGAATTCACCAATCTTTTCCTTAATCAATTCAATTCTCCGGTACGACGTGCACGTCAAGAACAATTATGGAAAGAATGCCGACAAGAGGAAAATGAAACTATTAACGAATTTCTCGTACGACTTCAAGCTCTGTGGCAAGAACAAAAACCAAATGAAAACGAGGATGACCTCGTACGTCACCTAATGTGTAAAATGAAAAATAGCTTGTTGTCAATGATTGGCATATCTCGATGTGAATCATTGGACGGAATTATCATGGAAGCACAAAAAATAGAAGAAATTCTTTATCAACGATCGAAACAACATCGTGACACACATAAGAAAGAACTAATTGAACAGATGATAACTACGGAAAATTATAACTGTAATGACCCATGCGAAATACAAGCAATGTCGGCATATCAATCAAGAAAACAGCCTAATACATATAGACAACAGAATCACGCAACAACATATAATCAAAATAATCAACAATCAAGTCAATACAAACATTTCTCGTCACGCCCGACGAGCAATTATCGATATATGCAATCAAAAAACGAAATCGTATGTTACGCATGTGGAATGAAAGGTCACTTAAAAAGAAATTGTCCAGGTCAATTCAATAATTATCAATCTGCATACTACTCAAAAAACGACTATGGAGCGCAAGGAGGACGGGACCGCAACGCTCCAATATAATGCATCCCGTTTATCTGTCTGCTGAAATTCATTCTATCAACCTATCAAACACAAATTCATTCATATTACCAGGAATAATTGGAGGACGACACATACAAATACTCATTGATTCAGGCGCATCACTAACACTCATCAATTCTCAATTTTTTAAAAAATTGCCAATATATTATCAACGACGGGCTCGTCCGCCTCCTCCTCATATTTGCCTTCAGCTAGTAGACAGATCACACTTACAAGTAAAAAGCTCATTGACACTTCCAAGCACTATCTCGAATTCCACCCGAAGACATACTGTATACGTTGTTCCACAACTCTGGCGATCTTGTATAATAGGTAATGATCTCATTCGAAAACATAATCTTCAAATTGATGGTGGTCGACAATATGCATACTCTAAAAAATACAATCGAAATAAGCCGCCGAGACAAACAGAAAAAGAAAATATACCCAACGATGAAGAATACACCCTTCTATCAATTGAGCGAATCAAGCTGCCACCGTTTCATGCATATCATATCCGAGTTAAACCAAACAAAATGTTTAAAAGTTCAAACGAAACAAATGACGAAGCAGAATACGAGATAACATCAATCAAAGAAACTCCACGGGTGGCAAACGGAATTATCACACCACAACATGATATGATTATACAACTGGCAAACTTAACAGAAAGAATGATAATGATTCACACCAATCAACCACTTGCAAAGATGACGAGATTAAATCAGAATCAATTAAATATGATACAATACGGGCAATCGAACACAGCAAACATCTCAACCGAATTGTCACCCGAAGAAACAACAAACCTTATCAATACAGACTTGAATGAAGATCAAAAAATAAAACTAAAACAACTCATTAAAAAATTTCCAGCTGTTTTTAACGAACAAGCTGGGCGAACAACAAAATTACAACATCACATTAATCTTACACCTGGATCTCAACCATACAATTCACCGCCGTACAGATATGCTCCGGCTCGTTGACAAATAATTGAAGAAAATCTGAAAGAAGTGACAAAGCAAGGAATAATTTCGCCATCTAAAAGCCCATGGGCATCACCAGTTGTTTTAGCACCAAAAAAAGATGGGAGCTTAAGATTCTGCATCGACTACCGAAAATTAAATTCAATGACAATACGAGATACTTATCCAATTCCAAGAATAGACGATACTTTAGATTCATTACAAGAAGCAAAATTTATATCAACACTAGATTTACGCTCAGGTTATTGGCAAGTGGAAATGGATAAAAATTCAAGAGAAAA